CCCTACTATAATTGTGTTTTTGTCAGTTTCTTCCTTTAGTTCTCTTAGTAGTTGCTTTATATATTTTGATGCTCCCTGCTTGGGAGCATATATGTCGATAAGTGTATGTCTTCTTGTTGTATTACCCCCTTTATCATTATAAAGTATCTCGTGTTACTTTTTTTATCCTGAAATCTGTTTCATCAGATCTAAGTATGGCTACACCCAATTTTCTCTGGATGCCATTTGCTTGGAGTATCGTTTTCCACCCTTTCACTTTAAGTCTGTATGTGTCCTTTTAGCTGAGATGTGTCTCTTGAGGGCAGCATATGGTTAGCTTTTGAGTTTTGATCCAATATGCAACTCTGTACCTTTTTATTGGTGAGTTCAGTCCATTTACATTTACAGTGATTATTGATAAATAAGGATTTCCTATAGTCATTTTATCTTTTGTTTTCTGGTAGCTCAGTGTCTCCATAGTTTCTTTGCCTTTGTTTTCTGTCTATTATTTTAGTTTGGTGGTATTCTATGATTTTTTTTCCCCTCTGTTTCCTCTTTTTTATGTTATGTTATGTGTCCCAGTTCTGGATTGTTTTTGAGTGGTTACTATTAAGTTTATGTAAAAGAACGTTTCATATATATGGTAATCCTTTTTCTTCAGCATGCATTTTATCTCCATTCCCCTTTGCAAGTTCAGACCTTTATTCCTTCCCCTTTTATGTTTTTGTTATCACAAATTATATCGATGTGGTGAGTTCATTTCTGAGATGCAGTAGCAAATTGTCTTCTTCTTCTCTTTTTCTTTTTTTATCTCCTTTACCTTTATGTTATATTTAAGTGTATAGTGCCCTATTCTGTGTAGATGTGCCATGTCCTGCTTCTCTCTGTCTGTTAGTAATCTTACTCATAGTTTTGTATACTTTTGTCTTTTCATTTTAGGTAGAATAGCCTCCTTCAGTATTTCCTGTAATGTAGACATTATGGTGGAAAATTCCCTTAGCTTTGCATGGATTTCTTTGGGTTTATTCCATTTTGGGTTTGCTCATTTTTTTTAACAGCTTAGTTGTTATATAATTCACATACCATAAAATTTACCCATTTAAAGTGTAAATCTATTATTTTTAATATACTTACACCCATGTGCAACTATCACCACAATCTAACTTTAGAATGATTTCATCACCTAAACAAAAACAACAAAACTCCACACCCATTACCAGTCACTCACCATACTGCTTCCCATCCCCTTTGTCCAAACAACGTTGGTCTACTTTCTGTTTCTATAAATGTACTTATTCTGGACATTTCATATAAATGGAATCATACAATATGTGATGTTTTATGTGTGGTTTCTTTCACCTAGCATAATGCTTTCCAGGTTCACCCCTATTGCAGCATGTATCAATACAGGCATTCTTCATTTTATTGCATTTTGTTTTATTCAGCTTCACAGGTACTGTGTTTTTTTATAAATTGAAGGCAAGACTCTCCACAAGCAAAAAGATTATGACTCAGTTTATTGCAATGGTCACTTTATTACAGTAGCCAGGAACTAAATCTGCAATATCTCTGAGGTACGCCTACAGCTCCGTTCTTTTTATTGCCAAATACTATTCCATTGTATGGATCTACCACAAGTTATTTATCCATTCATCAGCTGATAGACTTTTGGTTTGTTAACATTTTTTATCTAGTATGAGTAAGGCTGCTAGAAACATTTGTGTGCAAGTTTTGTATGCATGTATTGTTTTACTTCTCTTGAGTAGATAATTAGAGTGAAATTTCTGTGTTATACAATAACTCTAACATTTTGAGGAGCTGACAGTTTTCCAAAGCTATTTTACATTCCCATCAGCAATATATGAAGGTCCCAATTTCTCCACATCTGTGTCAACACTTGTTATTATCTCTTTATCATAGCCATTCTTCTGGGAGTAAAGTGATATTTTATAGTGGTCTTGAATTGCATTTCCTTGAGCTAATAATGTTGTTCATTTTTACATGTGATTATTGACTATATATCTTCTTTGGAGAAATGTCTCTTCTAATCTTTTACCCATTTTTAATTGATTTTTATGGCTTTTATAATTTATTTGTAAGAATTCTTTATACATTTTTAGATACAGATCTCTAATCCAATATATGATTTGCAAATATTTTCTCCCAGTGTGTGGGTTGTCCTTTCAAATTTTTGATGGTACCCATTAAAGCATAAATGTTTTAAATTATAAGAAAGTCCAATTAATCTATTTTTGTTGACTTGTGCTTTTGATGTCATATCTTAAAAAATAATATTGCCTAATTCAAGATTATGAAGATTACCCCTATGTTTTCATGTAAGAGTTTTATAGCTCTTACATTAGGTTGATAATGCATTTTGAGTTATTTTTTGTGTGTAGTATAAGAAGAGATCCAAACTTCATTCTTTTGCATGTGGATATACAGTTGTCTTTACACTGTTTGTTGAAAGGATGATTCTTTTTCATATTGAATTTTCTTGGTAACTATTTTGAAAAATCAGTTGATTGACAATGTAAGGGTTTACTTCTGGAATCCCATTGTTCTATTTGTCTATTCTCATGCCAGTACCAGATTGTCTTCATTACTTTCACTTTGTAATGAGTTTTTAAATTGAGAAATGTAAGTCCTCCAACTTTGTTTTTCAAGATTATTTTGGCTACTCAGGATCCCTTGAATTCCATATGAATTTTAGGATGGGCTTTTCCATTTCTGAAAAATAAGGCCATTGGCATTTTGATGGAGATTGAATCAAATCTGTAGATCAATATGAAGGAATATTACTATTTTAATAATAATATTCTAATAAGACTACCGATACAGTAATGTGATATTTTTTCCATTTATTTAGACCTTCTTTAATTTCTTTCAACAATGTTGTGTTTTATACTATAAAGCTTTTAATATCTTTGGCTAAATGTATTTCTAAGGCTTTTTTATGCTATTTCAAATGAAATTAGCCTCTTAATTTCGTTTGTTTAAGTCTTTGTTAAAAATATAGCTAACATACAATATTGTATTAGTTTCAGGTGTACACCATAGTTATTCAACATCTATATACCTAAAGAAGTGATCACCATAAGTTCAGCAACCATCTGACACTGTACCAAAGTATCACAATATTATTGCCTATATTCCCTATGCTGTACATTACATCCCATGACGTATTTATTTTATACCTGGAAATTTTAACCTCTTATTCCCCTTCACCTTTTCCCCCCTTTTTAATTTTTCAATTACAGTTGACATTAAATATTATTTTATATTAATTTTAGGTTTACAGCATAGTTAATTGCATATTTTGATTGTTTATTCCTAGTGTATAGAAATACAAATGATTTTGTAAATTGATCTTGTAACCTATATTTGTGCTGAATGTATTCACCAGTTCTAAGAGCTTTTTAAATTAGGTTCCTTAGAATTTTCTACAGGTAAGATCATGTCATTTACTAATAGAGATAGCTTTACTGCTCCCTTTCCAATCTGGATGATTTCATTTCATTTTCTTGCCTAATTGCCCTGGTTAGAATCCTCAGTACAATGTTAAATAGCAGTGATGAGAGTGAATAACCCTGTATTTTTCCTGTTCTTAAAGGGAAAACATCCAGTCTTTCACTATTAAGTATGATGTTAGTTTTGATATAGGTACCTTTTATCATATTGAGGAATTTCCCATCTATTCTAGTTTGTTCAATGTGGATTTTTTTTTAATCATAAAAAGGTATTGATTTTGTCAAATGCTTTTTTCTGTATATATGGCTTTCATTGTGTCTATGACCAGGAAAAATTGATGATAATATTCATTTCACATTTTCTAGACCCTCCAAAGGACCCCTTTCATCTATGCCTATAGTAACAATTTCTGCCACGACTTCTGAGTGATAGCTGACTGTCTGATTTTGTGTGCCCCTGTCTATAGGTGTTTCTAAATACAGGTTGTTGCCCCAGAGGTAAAGCCATAAGAACATTATGAACGATAGAAGAAGGATATGGTTGTTAACCTAATTAAAATGAAGACAAGTAATTTATCTGAGGATTTTACTCCAAGAGCAAACACAAATAAAGCAAATTTCATTTTTATGCATACTCTGAGGACATAATCAACTTTATGAAGTGAAATGCAATATCTTCCCAACCTCATAACCACATACAATCCCCCAACAGACTGCAGGCACAAGCCTACCCTTTTTCAGTGTGCAAGGAGATGAGAAATATAAGAAGGGAAAAAGGAAAAAAAAAACAAATATATCCACAGGAAAGAATTAATTATGGTAAAGTCAATTCTTGAAAATACATTCTGGTTTAAATCTTCCCCTATTCTCCTTCATCTGTGCATGTTAGTTTTCCTAAAATGAGATAAGCATCTTTTAATTCCAAAAGTGTATCTTGTGAATTCTGCAAATAATTGTTACCATGGAGCTCCAAGCATCCCATAGCAAACTAATATGTTTTGGGAGCTAATGCTATTTTGCCATTTAATGTGCTTGCTACTTCAACAGCAAAACCTGGAAGGAAAAAAANTTTTTTTTACTTTTTAAACTTTTTTTTAAAAACTACGACACAAACACACACACATGAGCCTAGGTCTACACAGGGTCAGGGTCATCAATATTACTGCCTTCTACCTTGTCCCACTAGAAATAAAGTCTTCAAGGACAATAACAAGCATGGAGCTGTCACCTCCTATGATGACAATACCTTCTTCTGGAATTCCTCCTGAAGGACCTGCCTGAGGCTCTTCTTGAAGAGGTGTCCTCTTTTCAGAAATATGCCCATGGTGGTTAATTTGATTTGTTTGGTTTTTTTCATCATAGGTTTGTTTGTAAGCAGATAATGTACCATGAACATTGCTCTCTACTACTGAAATCTTTCAGTGTTGGGGTCCATGTTTTCAAACTTTTGAATGGGTTTGTTGAGGTCTACAAAAGCTTCTGCTAAACCCTTCACTGTGAATGTTCTTGAAAGTTCTTTTTTTGTTCTCCTGCTATGTCTTTTTGTCTTGCCTCTTCTTCAGCTATGCATTCCTGTTCCAGCTCTAAGAACTCCTCATTTGTCAATTCCTCAGGAACCACCTCTAGGAGCTCCTCAGTGTCATCCTCATCCATTCTCAGGTTCAAGGTGTTTGCCATCTCAACCACAGCCTTGGTGATTTTTGCAATCTTTGTGCTACATTTCCCGCCAACCTCCTGAGAACCTATAACTATTTAAAAATAAAAGGTTTTTTAAAATTCTTATCACCGTCTAACTAAACAATTTAACTGATATTTTGTGAAAAAAGGTTTCATTCTTTTAACTTAATTATCCTCAATAGCAAAATAAATCATTGATACCAATTACACCAAAAAAAAATATGTATTGAACACATTCAATATTTAAGGCACACTGCTACACCTGAAAATAAACATTGAGCTTATTACTCCATTTGCTGATAATTTATTCAGTCTTTAATGGAGAAAATCCACCCAGTTCTTAATTTCTCTTCTCCAGTACAATGGTGGTGATTGTGCTAGAGCTTATGAATGATAATGATGTTGCTATATTTATTTGTATAAGGCTCCACTACTTTATCCGCTGTTTGGTTTTGGCCTAATCCAGAACCATATTATCAAGCATTTTAATGCTTTGAGAAACTCTTCCCATCAGTTGGATTTCTAGCCAAACTTTTCAGCTAGAAACTGAATACTACATAAGGTCTAGCACCCAGCCACCCCCGTCCCTGCTCCCCAGGGCTGATGGAGAATGGGCCGTGAGTCATAGAGGCAGTTGGTGGGGGGGTGGCAGCTCTACCCACCGATGATTATTTTTTAAAATAACTGAGGGCTCTTAGTATACCTTCCACCCACAATTTCCTTGCCTCTACCATAACCAAGCCAGTGTGGTGGGGTGCACATCATCAGTTTTTGTTTGTTTGTTTCTTTTTTCCGTTTTTTTAATTTGTTTTAGCTGGATTATTTTCAGTATTCTGATATTGAAGGGTGGAGGAGAGAATGTGCAGGATAATTGGCTCGAGTTCTTTCTCTCTCTAGCAAACGCCAGGGCCCCTGGATTGTACTACTTCCTGTGTCTGATAATCCTGAGACATATCATTATATTCTGCTAGACGAAGGGGTAGGACAACAAAGATGGCTTATATGCTGGTTAGGTTAACTTCCAAGGTCTAGCTGCAAACACTTTTGGCTTCTCCTTGACAAATGGAAACATAAAAGCTTGGAGCTCCTTTCACAAGTCATCTTTTTGAGTTTGGGAAGAGGTACTATGTACCTCATGTACATATTCATGGAGTTCTTGATAGATAAACCACTTAATCTAGTTATAACGTTCAATCCATATCTACATCCCGGATTTATCTACTTATTAAAAGTAATGGAATGCAAATCCATGCCACTTACTATTTTTTAACCTTCACACCTACTTGGCTCCCCCTCAGATATATCAATCTGCCAATTTGTGCAAAGGTGCAGAACTCTAGGAAGCATTTGTCATTCATCGTAACAGGTGGATATTTATTTAATATAATTAGATTTATAGGTTATTATGTTTCTCACATACCCTGTGTTCTTCAAAGGGAATAAAATTAACTTAAACTTTTTATTAACTTTTTTGTGAGGGAGGGGATGCTTATTTATAAATGGACTTGTTTTCCATTTCAACTCTTCCCACTATCTTAATCATTGCTTTTATTTTTCCTTTTAATGAGCAAGAGATCCCACCTTCTGCCTGAAATAACTATAATTAGCCTCTCTGTTTGGTAAGGTTATTGTATTTTATATCTATAGTTTAATCTCTTATAGTGGCTTAAAACTGCTACAAATGAAGTTTTAAAATATATGACACATGTTCTATTCATTTATTTTCTAAAATATCCTATTTAATTTCCTAATCTCCAAGTTTACTTTGCACATATCGTATGTTGAATAACAGTGGTAATAGGGGCATCCCTGTCTCGTTCCTGATCATAGAAGAAA